AGTTTATGTAACTAGAATCCAAAGAGTCTTGAGAATTTGTCTCTTGACAAATATATGGCTAGGATAATTTTTTTTTTTCCTCAATCACAGCGGGACACCTCCGTACCAAATTCATCTTCTACTGGCATGGCTTTATATAAATAAGAGAGAGGGTATTTATAGAGGCAGTAGCATATGATTTATATTTTTGAGATTTCCATGTACCAAGGTCATTTCCATTCTCAAAACTAAAATACCCATGGGAATTGGGGGAATTTCAGATGTATTTTACTAGATAAGTAAAACAAATAAAACATGGATTATCCAATTATTGTTTATTCAGGAGCAGAATAAATCCAGTTCCTAAATATTTTGCTACCTGCCTGCCCCTTACATTCATTATCTACCAAAGCTAGTATGTTTACAAGCAAACAGAATAGCAAGGAAGATAATCAATAACATATTAAGAAATGCATTTTCAGTAAGCTTGGGGAAATAAGTCTGCAGTTGGTAAATACGTTCTTGAATAATGGTCAAATTGTCACTTGTAGATTTAAACTCTAGAAAAATGAAAAGAAACAGACTCTTCTTAGATTGTTTAAGACCTGAAATCGGGGGATAAAGAGAACTATTTCTTTCCAGTGACTTAGAAATACGCATCCACGGAAGGATTAAAAAAAGAAGGCACAGTAGAATTTATATAAAACCTTTATTTCCACTTTATGTAAAAACTTCATATCAATTAAACCTATTCACTTAAGTTAAAACAGGATAGTTAAACTCTCATAACTTTATCAGAAAATATATGTACAAAATACAGAAGAATAGAAACTATTGAGTGTTCTCCAATCTTACTCTAACCTTGCAGTTCAGGGAAACAGTAGATGCAAGTGAGAAGAAATAGTTGTTAAGAGTGTTCCCTTTAGGAAATGCTTTAAAATATCTTTAGCAATAATTTTGGTTGACCCATTCTTTGCCCTTTGATGTTCCTCAATTTGATCAGTCACTCATCGTTGAAAAAATTTATTGTGTTAAAATATATATAACAAAGGAATTTGCCATTTTAACTATTTTTAAGTGCCTAGCTGAGTGGCATTACCTGCATTCGCGACGTCCTGCAGCCATTACCGCTGTCCATTTTCAAGAGTTTTACATCGCCCTACAGTGAAGCAGTAACTCCCCATTCTAACGGGGAAGACAGATGGGTTGATATTATACAGAGGGAGCACAGTGTGGTAAGTGAACACGAAGGAAGCCCCCTTTACCAGCCTTGAGCGCGAGAAGGTGCCAGGACCGGACATCATCATGGGGAGGAGTTGACGCCTGAGCTGAGTAGGAGGTGAATAGGAGGAGGGGGTCCAGGCTGCTCCATTACCTGATGAAATTTTCCTTCCTGGGATGCATCACCTTCGTGGGTTCTTGTCTGTGAGAGTCAGACTAGTGTGCATGTTTGATAGCTAATGATTTGGGGAGGTGTTTATGGCTGTTGTTGGTGATATGTCTCTTTAAAAGCAGATCTTTGGGAAGCATCCACTCGGGAGGCTACTAGCAAGCGTTTGTAAGATTCTCTTACTGCTAAAAAGATGACTTGCTAAGTTGAAATGTGATAGAGAGGAAGGTAGTTTGGGTTCACATCCGTTTCTGCCTAGAGGGCACATAGCAGCCGGAAATGGACAATCATGTAATTAATGTAAAATAAATTAGAGTGAATATAAATTGTATTGGTTTCCTAGAGCTGCTCTGACAGAGTAATACGAATTGGATGGTTTATAAAAACAGAAATTTATTTTCTTGCAGTTCTGGAGACTAGGAGTCAGGGTATCGACTGTGTTAGTTCTTTCTGAAGGCTCTGGGGGAGGATCTTCTCCTGTATCTTTCCTAGCTTCTGGGGATGGTGTCCCTTGCCTTGTAGATCACTCCAGTCTCTGCCTCTGTCTTCATGTGGCATCTTCCCTGTGTGTCTCTGTTTCTCCTCTTTTATAAGGACACTTCTTATATTGCACTAAGATCCATCCCACTCCAGTATGACCTCATGTTAACTGATAAATATCTTCAAAGACCCTATTTCCAAAGAGGGTCACATTCCCACAGGTACCAGAGGACAGGACTTCAACATATCTTTTTGGGGTTCACAATTCCATCCATAACAGAAATTAAAATATAAAATTGAAACATAAAAAATGATGTTATATGCCTATTTGAAGGGGTCTTACGGGTGTGCCATTATGACCAGGTCAAAAGTGATCTTTTAATAATTTGATAACTGGCCTGAATCTGGACCTACCACGTCTCAAAATATTCTTCTGTTTTATCAAAATATTCTTTCACTGTGTCCTTAGAAGATTGAACGAGCTTTCCTGCAAGCTGATGAACGTTATGTCGGTGCCTCAGCTGGGCTTCGTGGTCATGGATAGGTAGCTAGTCATCTTACAGATGCTAGCTTTGGCTTCTGCCCACTGAGGATGGGGCAAGTAGAGGCTGTAGCTCTCCATTCTCCATTTCATCTTGGGAATTAAATGGAGCAATTCAGACTTTGGGGCTAGCGGTTTTGAGCTTTCCATGGACACTAAATTCTCTTCATATGAAAAGAAAAAGAAGGATGTGCACTGATGACTCAATACCCAAGCGGGATGTAGTGTGTTGTGCTGTTTCCTGTAAAAGAAATAGCAAAGGACCTAATGAGCCAATAGGCTAAATGTTAGTTTTGCAGAATGATTCAACCACTTTAGTTTTTGTCATGAATGTTTTAATGAAGGGTGTTGAGGCTCTGGGAAATAGATTGTAAATAAGAATCCTATTTTTTTAATTTAAATAAAAGGGCTCTTTCATTGGCATAAAGCTTGCTTTGAATATAATGACATTCAGACACTTCCTCATTGTGCACCATTTTGAGTGGAATTTGGGGGCATTTGACTACCACAGTAATGCACAATGCCTTAGCATGTCTCTTGGTTGGATGCTGACATTTTCTTTCTTTTCTGGTTGCTTCCTAAGGTGTATTATAGAAAAGGCAGTGGATGGGCAGATTGTGTTCAAACTTACAATATCTGAGAACGAGACCATGTTTTATTATCGCACCATAAACGGTTTGCAGCCTCCAATAAAAGTAATGACGCTGCGGAGAATTCTTGTGAAGAAATGGGTTCATCTTAGTGTGCAGGTGAGTAAAATAAAAAGTATTTACCATTTGGTTAAACACAAGAATCTATCTCCCTTTCTCTCTCCCACAAAATTTGAAGCAGTATCTCTTAGATTTTAGGTACGTGTAAATCACAACCAAGGAAGAAAAATATTTAAATGATCTAATGATGCTTCTCTTGATATACCAGCATTTTCCCCTCAAAATAGCTGTAAAAACTCCCAGAGAAGCTTAAATGTAAAGGTATTTGGAATAATAATATCCTGGGGAAATTTTTGTTTTATTTGGCTAGTACGTTTTATTGTGTTCAAAAATGTGTGAGGCCTCTTTTGTGTCTAGTACTAATTTTACTAGTCATGGCAGTATTAAACCCCTGCTTGGTTTTTTACAGCTGTCTTTTCTCACATAGCATCTGATGATGTGAATAAAATTTGGCTGTTGCATTAAAATGCTGACCTTAGAACTAATGAACTTTACACTTCGGATACGCTAAAGGTGTTATATTATTACTTTACTTGTCAACTACAGTTTGTGTCAGCCTTAGAAACTGCTAAAGGCTGAGGTAACTGTGAGATGTGTGGTATTTACAGTCCCCGGAATAGAAGAAGAGTTTGTCTGTTGGTGTTTTTAGGGCACTGGGATAGCCGAATGCAGCCCAAAGCGGCCCTCTCCTTTCATACCAGACGTACAGGGTATGTTAGTTCCCAGTGCAGGCTGTCTCTGGAGCGTCCAGACAGTGGTGCACACAAACCCCATTACCACGAGAGGACACTTGCACCTGCTTTCATTTTATGAAAATTATCTTTGATTTTTCTCACATTATTTTTTCCCTGGTTAGTGAGCAGACATCCTCAGAGAGTCTTGAGAGTTGTTATTTGGCTTTACGATCCCTTTCAGCATAGGAACTGTTGCTGGTAATGTAAACACGCTTTGCAACTATCTTTGTTTTGCCTGATTATAACGGTGCAATTCTGCCATGTTTTGGCAAAGGAGCGCATCAGAGGAGGAAGGGAAGACAATTTAAATATAAATGTAGATAGCAATGCAGGGAGGAAACCATTGACAAAGTAATATGCAGTTGTGTGGTATGCTGCAGTGACTGAGAGATTTAGCCAGAGCAGCTGGCAGAGAGTAGGGTTTCCTTGCCACCAGGGCTCAGGGGGTGTCCAAAGGCGTAGCTCAGGCTTGCATCGGGCCCTGACTGTGGCACATACAGTTTCAATCTACCAATGCTTACCTCTCATTTGCTCAGTAGCTAGCAGCTATGGGACCTACTTGTTCTAGATCTCAGAGTTGTCCATCCCACCCAGAAGAACTCAGCTGTAATATTAAAGATTGAGAAATAGGAACTGCCAAGAATGGGAAGCTGCAGATGTCGCGTAGATGTGTTTCCTGCACAGTTTCGTATCCACAATTACAAAAAACATTTTCTTTTTCACTTGTCTTTTTATTTTGCCTTATTTGTGAAACTGTGCGGTTTTTTGCAGGCAGTAGTACATTAAAATAATTACAAACAAACAATAAAATCTAAATGCAGAGAGGTAACCATTGCTGAGTGAGTCTCCTGGGTGTAAAATGCTCTTAGAGCGCCTGTTGAAATCAGCATTATCATTTCAATACATGTCAAATAGGAGTCATTTCCCAGTTTAGGCAAAATTTCTTTATAAATCTTTAAATCTTCCTCTTCTTTCAAGAAAAGGTTAAAGTACTTATGATTTAATGAGACTGTTTTACATCATAAGTGTTTGAGTATCAAGAGAAACCTTGTCCTTTCGAATTTGTGCAATTCCTTTATTTTTTTGCATAACTTTTTTGTTTACTATTCTACACTTTATATCAAAACTATAAACAAAATATCCATAAACATTGGAAAAATCATTCAGATGAGTCATTTATTCAACTAGCACTTATTGAATGTTTTAAGGGGACCTAAATGCTCAGTATGAGAGTCTGCTTTCATTCAAACGAAAATTAAAGAGCAATTATTTACCCTAAAATGAAAATCTACACAAGGTTCCTTTACACTGAACACCAGTCTGAATACATTTAAAATGTTATGAAATTTATAGTAATTTATATTATAGATGTTCTATAAGGAACGTGCTAATTCCTTACGAGTTGTTAAAAAGTATCGGGAAGAGCAAGAGATTAAAAACCAAAGCAAACCTGTTGCCATCAAGTTGATTCTGACTCATACAGACCCTATAAGACAGAGTAGTACTGCCCCATAGGGTTTCCAAGGAGTGGCTGGTGGATTCAAACTGCTGACCTTTTGGTTAGCAGCCACACTCTTAACCACTGCGCCACCAGGACTCTGAGCAAGGGATTAGGAGTTAGGAAATCTGAGTCAGTCAGGCAGTGCCGTTCTGCGTTCTTGAGAAAGTCACTTGACTCAGTTTTCCCATTTCTGTGATGAGAGGACTGGACTAGATGAACAAAAATGAAGCCCCTTTGAATTCCACATAAAAAAGTACGTGGACTGTGGCGTGAGGCACAGTTTACTGAAGTATGGAAAGCTGAAGAATTATCTCAATAGTTATTGGCAGAGCCAGGCTTATTTGTATTTATTTTTTTCTGTGTCAGCACGGTGGCTGGTACTTGTTGAGAAACATTTTTGGGGTAAATTTTGTGGCCAATACACAGACAAACGCAGCTTGCTACCTTCTGTGTAACTGCAAATACCTTATTTTCACTTGAAACGTTCTAAGGTGCCTCCAAGCACTGTTAGATTTTGCAGACCAGGGACTTCTGTCCTGTAACTTTTCAGTTGCAACAGCCAGGTTACTCAGCAATACGGGAGAACTGAGGAGCCCTGGTGGTGCAAAGCGTAAGTGCTTGGCTGCTAAACAAAAGGTCGACGTTTTGAACCCACCCAGCCGCTCCTCAGGAGAAAAGACCTGGAGAGCTGCTGCCATAAAGATTTCAGCCTAGGAAACCCTATGGGGCAGTTCTGCTCTGTCCTTTAGGGTCGCTGTGAGTCAGAATCGACCGCACGGAACACAACTACACAAATCGTACTAGGCGTAGGATGGAGCACGCAGTCATTAATCCGGTTTAGTCAAGTTTTAAACTGTAAATCTGTACCTAATGTGTACGCATATTCTCACCCACCCCCTACCATAGCCATAAATCGGAGTGTATATTTAGGGTTTGTGTATAAGGAGTCCTGGTGGTGCAGTGGGTAAGCATTCGGGTGCTAGCTGAAAGGTTGGTAGTTCAAACCCACCAGTGCCTCCAAGGAAGAAAGATCTGGCAGTCTGCTTCTGTGAAGATTACAACCTTGGAAACCCTATGGGGCAGTTCTGCTCTGTCCTATAGGGTCGCTAGGAGTTGGCATCGACTTGACAGCAATGGGTTTGGTTTATTTGTTTGTTTGCTTTTTGGTGTATGTATAAGAATAAAATATGTATTCACCTCTTCTCGAGGAACTGGCTCAAAAATCAGAATTTAACTTAATAAGGCCTAGTGACATAACCTTAATGAACAGATTTGACCTTATACTTTAGCACAGACAGGTCACTTGGTATCAGTTTCCCATCAGTAAAATAGGGATTCTAACATTTAATATACAGAAAAAAATTCATTATAAATAAATAAATTCCTGGGCAAAACGATGCCAAGGACAGCCAGAAATACTCAATATTGGTGGTCTAGTTTCCTCAACAAAAGAATACCCAGTATTGTTATGTGATGGATCTAACAGCTTTCCTTCCATAACTAGCTTTTTGAAGCTTCAACCTGTTGGAAGATGATTAGTTTTTAAATTAATATTCATTTGGGGACTTGAACTTGACACAATTGCCAATTTAAATTTCACTTTGGGATTTAATATATTGGCTATTTCAAATTATACCAAGCTGAAATTTGTTATATCATGTTTTTGTACTAAAACTGGAAAAAATCAATTCAGTCTTTTATTATCAAATAGGGAACACTGATAACGTTAGCTGATTTTTAAAGCTTAGTTTTCATATTGAATCAGCACATGCTGTAGTTTCTGCAAGAGATCTTTTTTTCTATTTTCTTTATGAAAATTTTTTTTTTTAAGTGCATAAAAGGGCTTTACTTTAGCAATTTGTTATGGATTGGTAGGTAAAATAAGCCAGAAGTATTTTAGGATTTAAACCAAGACCAAAACCATTGCCGTCAAGTCGATTCTGATTCTTAGTGACCCTATAGGACAGAGTAGAATTGTCCGATATGGTTTCCAAGGCTGTAATCTTTATGGAAGTAGACCGCCACATCTTTTTTCTTGTGGAGCAGCTGGTGGGTTCGAATGGCTGACTTTTTGGTTAGCAGCTGAGCGTTTAACCACTGAGCCACCACGGCTCCCTGCGTTAGCATTTAGTTGCATATAATTTCATAATAAAACCTCAGGATTCCCTATTAAAATATTGTTTTTCCCTGAAGCAGTTCCACACATTTAATAGGACAAAAATCACCAAAGAATCATCAGTATAAATCACCTTTCTAGAAATTATTCTGAAATGCCATAAAACAATTGCTGTGATTTGAAGCTGATGAAATACTGCAACTCTGGAACCAAGAAATGATTTAGCAGTGGGGGTCGATCACATTTTTTTAATGCTATTTCCAGGGCTCCTTGATACATTGACAATACAAGAACCGCAGATGGTTCTGGCTACACATACTGTGAAAAAGAGCAGTTGTTCAAATCAATACAATGAAAGAAAAAATGCATAGCTAAATAAGTTTTAGACATCAATAGATGAGGAATAGGAGTTTCATAACCATAGTTAGTTCATGAAATATGTTCTTTTGATTTATGTATTCAATCTGAAACAGGAAAACTATTGATAGTTCTGGAGAAAAAGAAAATGCAGTTTAACAAACGTGTTAGAATGAATAAACCCAGTTTCTCAATTAATCTCTGGAATGTATGCCCATGTATACACTTTATAAAGGTATTTCCACATCACTGTTGATTGAGGGATGCAATCTTATGGAAGCTTCCCAGCTCAGTTTATTATGCTCTATGTCTTGGGATTCCAATGGGAAGA